GTCTATATGTGTGTGTTTGTGTTTGTGTGTGTGTATATCTCACGCACAGTCACATTCTTCCTCATTTACCATTTGCAGTCTATTTTATTTGCAACATTTGCAGCACAGAAAGCGTTTGCCCTAAAAAGTAGGCAACACTTTTTGACAGCTGCTTTGGCCCATGGAAGTGTCCCACATAAGCCCAGCCCCCCTTTCCGCACAGTATTACCCTTTCTCTATGCCAACATTTGCGTATACTTGTTTAGGCATTCGCAGCACTTTTCCAGAATGCCCTGAAAAGTAGGCAACACTTTTTGCACTGGCTCGTGAGCTGCCCACAGAAGTAGGCAACACTTTTGGTTTGTACTCATCAAATTTCTTAACATTGGAGCGGAAAGGGGGGGTTGAGCAAGTAGATACCGCCGTGAAGGCAACAAAATGCAAATCAAATTAAGGGCATGTCCGCCCACAGATGATGCAAGCAAACAAAGCGAAGCCCCGCCCAAACTCATGTGTTTGCGCTTGTTAATTAACTGACAATGGTGTGCGTGCGAGTGTGCGCATCAGTGTGTGTATTTTTAAATGTCTGGCTACACACAAGCTCACACTTTCGCACACACACACACACACGCTGCGCAGGAGACAGTCAGTTGTGGCACAGATGGCCCGCCCGCAAGTGTTTGCTAATTTTATTAAACCCTCTTGCGCTTAATTAATAGAAAATGATTGCGCAAACAGACGTCGCACACACACACACACCCATACACACAGCATGGTGGGGCTGTGGATGGCACAGCAGCTGCAAAAATATTAGCCACTATTAAAAGCTAAAGCGTAGTCGGGTTGCTTTCATCACCTGCTGCTGGTGCTCTATCTTAACCCCGCAGCTTTAAAACTATTCAACCATAAAACGACCCACACACATTCACAGGCACACACACTGACACTGGCACACACACACACACACACACACATAGATGTCGGCGAAGCGTAAATTCATTTACCGCAGCGCAGTGAAGCCGGCAGCCAACACACAACACAGAAAGCTTTTTACACAAATGAGTTTATGGATAGTCCCAGTCCAAGCCAACAGCTTCAGCATACTCACACACCCACACACACGCACACACACACACACACACGAGGGTAGCCACACAAATTAATACATTATTTTTAAAAGATAAATTTCAAGCATGTCGTCTCGCTTGCTCGCTCAATCGCTATCTCACTCGCACACAGACTAGCAAACAATTAAATCAGTGAAATCCACACGCAGCTTTTGGCACAAACTCCCCTCCCTCTATCGCCCCTCCTCACCGCCGCATCTCTACCAAATAGCCCCCACATGATGCCGCCTGCTGGCGTCTACCCACATAATGTTCACAACTTTTCAACTTAAATTCATTTTGTGCGCCAAAGCGCTAAAGTAAAGTGCCTGCCCATAGGGGGGCGGCGGGGAGGAATGGATCCTCGGAAGGAGGGATGGGGGAGCGTGCGGCGAGGTCTTTGGGGTTGCTTTTGAGCCAGCCAGCCAAGTGGCATCACACATTTTTCTCGTGGTTTGTTGTAAATTTGTTTTCGTTCACTTGCAACGTTGTGACACCGCAGCAGCAGCAACAACAACAGCAGCTCACGGTTGTAAAGCGGGCGGAGGGTAAGGGAGGGGACTGACTGGGTGAGGTCACAGAGGTTGGTGTGTGGGCCTTGGTAGAAAAGCTACCGAAAAGCAGCCAGAAAGCCGCAACTTTTGGATGCTGCCTTCAGCGCACGTTGTTATTGTAAATCAGAGCCTGTGACTCTCAAGGCAGCAGCTGCCATTGTTGTTGTTGTTGTTGTTGTTGTTGCTGCTGTTGCTGCTAAAAGCGTAGATAATAAATTAAACGCAGCACGCTTCAAGTCAAATAGCTGCGCTCCATCCCGTCGCCCCACCACAAAATGAGTAAGCAGCTCTGTATATGTATGTGTAGGGGCCAGCGAGGTGCTGTCGGGTGTGTGAGGATTTATCAAAAGAATGTCCTGGGCCAAAGCTCAGATAACATTCGACTGTCACGCGCTGCAATCTATTATCGAAATTGAGACGCAGAGCTCAAAATCTAAAAAGACAACAATTACTCGAAGTCAATATCCACAGAAAAATTCATTTATATATAATACATAAAAGAGTTTTCCCTGCCTCACTGACTGACTGACAAGAAAGCTGAGCTACGAAAATTCTAGCTCCGAGTGGTGGAAAAATGGTGCTCAAAGTTTAGTAAAGAACGCAGCCGTACAGCGTGAGTGTCAGACTGACAAGCGAGAAGTCGCTGGTTCAAATTCTGCTAAAATGATCAGTTAATATTTAATTATTTAACTTCGTTTTACATGCAAAGAGAAGACACTAATAAATTCATTTAATTAGTATTCTAAAGGGGCTTTGAAAATGTGTCCTTAAATAACTTGTGCTTCTCATCAAATGGAATGAGGGTGAGTAGCATACTCAGGTATATATATACCTGAATAGATATAATCTGAATTAGATCAGCATTAGCATGATAACAATTATTCATATTTTCGGCTATGAATTATTTTATGTTTATTTGTCGAATGATTGAAATGAACATACAACTGCATATCAATAGATATTCAAATGCCGACTTCTCTTTTACGTGAAATACGTTGAGCCACGCCCACTTACCAGCTGGCAACTTCTTTTGCAGACGAAATGTAACCAAAAACTTGTGCGCACAATTTATGAAGCGAGTTGGCAGAGCTTCGCTTCAAAGTGTTAAAAAAAAAAATAAATAAATAAAAGCAACTAAAAGAAAGAAACAAAAAATAACCAAAAAAGTTGCGCAAATGCTTTACTTAATAAAATGCCAAGGCACAAAGGCGTCGGGTTTGAGGGGCGGTAAAGTATGATGATGGTTGTGTGTGTGTGTGTGGGTGAAAAAGGTGGGGGGGGAGTCTGTTGTCGGTTTGTTTGTGTTGAGGTAGGGTAGCGACACGTCAACCCTTTTGTTTCAAATTAAAATTTACATATTTTAATGTGCAAAGTTTTGTGGAGCGATGCTTACACGGCAGCTGCCCAGCAACAACAACAACAGCAATAACAACAACAACAACAAAAAGAACAATTTGCAACGAGCCAGACAAGAGAGGGCGAGGTGCGAGACGTAATGAGTAGAGCAGGAGGTGCGAGAGTGAAGGCGCTCAAAAGTTGCTCCGTTTGCAAAAAGGTTGGCAGTAAAAAATCAAATTGACCTGTAAATATAATTTAAAAGGTGGCAGCAAAAACAGCAGCAGCGGCAACAACAACAATGACAACACGAAACGTGTTTAATTATCAAGTTGTAAACAACAGCAACAGCAACAACAACAACAACAGAGACAAAGACAAAAGCTGAGTAAAAACGCGTTTCCAGCTGCCGCATTCAATTTGGTTGAAGCAACATTTTCTACTTTTGTGTGCGTGTACGCGTGTGTGCACTTTTGTGTGTGCGTGTGTGTGTGTGTGTGTGTGTGTTTGTGCGTAAAGGTGTATGTGTTGCATGCCTTCAAGCGCTGGCGTTTCAAAATTTTGTTAATTTGCCATTGTCAGCTAATGAGCGAGAGCTATGAGTGCCAGTCAAAGCAGAAGAGATAGAGAGGGCGATAGGGAAATGGAGAGGTGCAAAGGGACTCACAAATAGTTTGGAGCCCCAGCCCCATGGGGGAATTGAAATTTAAAGTGGGTTGAGCGGAGTTTGTAAATTATGCTGCTTTACTCAGATTACAAAAAAAGTTACGTCTAAGCACAATTGCGAAAAATTACTGAAAAGCTAAACAAAATGAGGCACAAACTGTATTTAGCATTGACAAGGGGAAGAGAGCGGGCATTTGTGTTAAACAGAGTGGAAAGAAGTGAAGAGAGTTAAATACTGCCATGAAAATGAAATTATGGCACTAAATATAGAAGAGGCAAACGAGCAGCTTTAGTTTAAGCCTCATCTATATAATTAAGGGTGTGGGTATTTAGTTTTCTCGCTCATATTCCGCCCGTGCTAGAACTAGAACTTCATGTCTTAAGTTACATTTCACATAGATATATAAATATAAATCAAAAAAAAAAATAGAATAAATTTTCGAAATGAACCTTTCAAACGAACTCTACTCCATAAAACATTTCGCAAATAAATCCAAGCAAAGTTCTTGGAAAATAGGTCTAAGGTCACTTGGGTGGTAGATATTCCATCAATTTCTACAGTTGCGTGTGGCATTAGGCAAAATACCGTACAAGCGACCGCTTTGTAGTTCACAAAGGGTGACTACTGTACTTCAACTTCTGAGCACAGTCAATCAGAACAAGCTGTTTTTTAAATAGACACACACAAGTATTCTAGCTTCTATAGAAATGAATGCTTTTATGGTTTCTCATGGACTTTGAATGTTTTCTCGATACGACATCGAATCACAATTTGAGGAGGAAGGGGGCTGGGGTTGCTGGTAGGCGTGTCAGCCGATGTGGTTTGTAATTGCTTGTCAATTGTGCAGATGGCGACCCACAACTGGCACATGCAACTATTCACATAATCAACATTCGAGGGCCTGTTGCAAAGCGAGGCGTTTCTTTGCATGTGCCTGTGTGTGTGTGTGTTTGTGTGTGTGTGTGTGTGTGTGTGTGTGTGTGTGAGAGTAAATTAACACCGTTTAACGCTAATGTAAAGCAAACAATTTGATGTATTTGCCTTGTACTGCGCGTGTGTGTGTGTGAGTGTGTATAAAGTATGTACTATATATAATAAGTGTATGTCTTCTGCGTGTGTGTGTGTGTGCTTGTGGGTGTGTAAGCCCGTGTGTGTATCATTCTATTTGCACTTGTATGTGTATTTTTCATCAACAGTGTTTGGCGTTATGACAACGCCGCGTTGTCCACACTTCACAGACGCACGCACACGCACACACATTCACATTAACATTGTCATTTACATTCACATTGGCCATCATCAGCAAACATTGAGGATATGTCCTGCCCCCCTTTTTACCGTTGCCCGCCCTATGCTTACCTGCAAAGTATGCCAACATGGCGGTTAGGACGACGGATATGAATATTAAGGCGATGCTCAAGCATTTCCAGGAACATCGGTGTTGACAGCGTTTATCTATGTGAAACCTGTAAAAGAAACAAAGCAAAACAGTGAGCGAATGAGTAAAAGAGACAAATTGGAAGCTGAGACAGACAGAGAGGAGAGAGCGAAAGAGAGAGGCAGGAAGAGGGAGGAAGAGGGCGTTAAACAAACTGTGCAATGCATTTGTAATTAACAACTGGCAAACAGCAGCAGACACCATATAGAGAGAAACAAGGTGATGGCTACACAGGAAGTGAAGCTGGCATAAAATAGCCTAGAGAGGGACGATGGCTGTTAGTAACGAGATGCCGGAGTGACCAGAGTGAGCGCAGCTTAGTATATATATAGTGGGATACAAATAATAAAAAATTTTATCGAGAAGGCTTCGATCGGAAATAATTAAAACCCTCGAGACTTTACTCGTTACTTTGGAAACGTCAGTAATCTAAATAGCATGCTACTATAAGTCATTCGTAAAACTAAACTAAGCACTACTTTAGCATACTCGTTACTTCAAATGACTCGCTACTCAATTCTATAAGTGCATTTGAATGCATTCCAAACACCATTATCAAATAGTTATTTAAAGGCAATAAGCAAAATCTCCTGAACAATACTCGCTTCCATCACTCGCTACTTTCGATTAGCAGAGACTCTAAGGCACTCGATAACGTCTATAAAATCCGTCGTCAAAGGGTACTCGTTAATTTAAATGAGTCGCTTCTCTAAAACATTTGATGTTTTTGTATGCGCGCTACTCTCAAACACGCAATAACCAGCCAGTCTACGGCACTCGCTACACTGCCAAACATTCGTTATTTTAAATCATTCGTATTTTGTAATTAACTCATATGAAAAGCCGCTGTCACTACTTTACTCGCCACTCGTTAGTTTCAGGGCAATTGTTATCTGCTGCAGCTTCTTTAATATCGCTCTCATCTCTATCGCATACAGAGCATTACATATGCAGCGTAAACCCATGACGCAGTGTGGAGTGAGTGAAAAGTTGGTTTAGCCGTTTGACATGGCACAACGACCACAGAAACCAACGAAAGACACACTGCACACATAAACACACACACACACACACACACACATGCACCAATGGGTTTGTCAACTGTCAACTTTTTTAATAAAGCAACGCAAAATGACACTGCCCTTGCGTCACAGCTGCCTCTAGTTAATTGCATAAAAGTTGTAGCAAAGATTCTGTTTGCATGGCCTGAAAAAGGACTCCAACTACATACTTCAGAGTGAATCCTATGTAGGCAATGATGAAATTAATTAGCAGACCTAATGAGCCTTCTTGTACTTGGGGCAATTGAAATTGTGAAACAGTAGGGAAAATTATCTATTCAAATTTTCCGACTCTGTATCTTCCCTGACAACAAGATTTAATTGAAGCGAGTCAAGGAAGAAGCTTCTAAGCCACGGAGTTAAAGCAACTTTTGAACGAAAGAAGCATTGTGAGAACTGAAAAGATATTAAAATATGCGCTAGGAGTGAAGCAAAAAGCATCTCATTGCTTTTCAGTGAGAAGTGACAGACAGTAGCTGTGGCTAACGTTAATGATACGATGAAAGATGAAATGATAATGCGAAGGACTTCAATATATTAAACTAAGTGCGAGAAGCGATGTTTGAGTAGGTGTTAGAAAAACTACGTAAAAATGTACGTAAATGCAAAAGAAACATAATTCCGAATTGGTCGATCGAAATATGAAAATGGAAAAGTGAGGTAAATTGAAAATTTAGAAGGTGTCAAAGAAGACAAGAAAGAAGCAAAGCCAATGTTTAACAACATGGGCAAAGAGAGAACTGAAGCGAAAATCTAGGAGGAATCAGCAGGAGCACAAAAAGCAACGAGAAAAGGGAAGTGAAAATCGAAAAGCTTTAAAGGGTGCACGAAAAGCAAAGAGAAATGGGAAGTGAAAAGTGTCAAAGTGGACACAAAACGCAGCGAGAAGCGAATTGAATATTTAAAAGCAATCGAAGACGGCACAAAAATTAAAGGGAGAAGCGAAGTGAAAATCAAAGAGGTTTCGATTTCAGCGTAAAAAGTAAAGAGAGAATCGATGTGAAAATCGTATGGCTTTCAAATTGGGCAGAAAACTAGAGAAGTGCAGTGAAAATGTAAAAAGTTGACATCTTTTGGGACAAAAAAAAAAAAAAAAGAGAAGCGAAGTGAATATTTAAAACTTGTCGAAGTGATCACATAAATCAAAAAGATGGTATGAAAGAATGGATGGGAAGCTACACAAATTAGATAGCAGATGCTACAGGAAGTTAAACCGAGCCAGCGAGAAGCGAAACGATAAGTTCGCAAAGCAGAGTTTCGACAGCAAAGTGCATAAACAGCTGCAGGCTGACAGCCAATCGGCCAGGCGGGCAGGCAGGCAGGCAGCTCATTTACTTCTACCCACAGCCGGGTGCACTCAATGGAGTGTAAAGCGTGTGAATGTATTCATTTTCCAGGCCGGACGCATTGTTGACCCAGCGTTTGACCCACTGTTAATGGATGAATGGATGGATGGATGGGTTGATGCTTACCTGGATGGTGAATATGGCGAATAATGTGGTGCATGCGCTGAGTGCGAATTACGCAACGGGAATCCAGGCATAACCAATGGCTGTGAGCCGCTTATCTGGCAATGCGGACCGGCAACTCCGCTGCCCGGCGGACCGACAGACACTTGCGGCCCGCCCACTTGGCCGCCAACGCCCACACCGCCGGGCATGGTACCAGCGCCCATTGGCATGCCGACGCCGCCGCGATCGATGCCACCATGGCCGATTGTGTTGCTGCCAGTTGACATACTTTGTGGCATCTGTTGTGGGTGGCCGCCCAATCTGTAAAAAACGAAAGAGATGGCGTCAGTGTGTGTGACCATAATATAGAGACAGAGAGACAGAGAGAGAGAGAGAGAGAGTGAGAGGCAGCGCTGCTTGTAATGCGGAAATTAAAACATGTTCAAAGTTTTTCGCTCGACAATGTAATATTTAAATCTGAGCTATATACACATATAGGAAAAATATAATCTATATATATATATATATATATATATATATATATATTCTATATATGTGTATGTGTATTAAAATATGTATCACTATTTTTTGTGGGGCTGCTGTTGCCAGGGGGCGTGGCACTTAACACAAAAGACATTGCTATTGTTTTTTGGGCTTGTTGCTGTTATTGTTATTATTATTTTTAACGGTTAAGTGATGCGGAAATTTTAAATTAAAAAACATAAATCAATGCGTATGTGTCCGAGGGTGTGTGAGTGTGTGTGTGTGTGTGTGTGTGTGTGCGTGTGTGTGTGTGCGTTTGTCCTTTGTTTCATTATCGTTGCACAGCAGCCAGGCGGACATGTTGTTGTTGCTGCTGTTGTTTGCATTTTATTATCGCTCAACATTAAGCGGAAATGCAGCTACAGGCAGCGACGCCGGCAGCGACGCTGGCTGCACTGCCGCTGCCCCCGTAAATATGCAACACATTTTGCAGCTGCCGCCTTTTTCACGCGCCGCCCGCAAGTATACAACTTGTAATATTTTTTTTATTTGTTACTGCCAGCGCTGCGATTTACAAGACAAAGGACTCGAATTACCGCATGCACACACACACAAACACACACATACAGGCACGCCCACAAGCTCTCCGTGTGTGCGTGTGTGTGTGTGTGTACAAGTACTTATATGCCATATAGTGTATATACAGTTGGATACATGTTTGCATTGCGTTGAGAGAGACCGAGCACTTGAAAACTGCGCACACAAAAATATGCAATTAAGTTTTTTATTTTTTTCGGGGCGACATTGTTAACATTTAAAGAGCTTTAAAAATGTTACATGCTTGCACGCATATATGCAGCTAAATATCTCGCGGCGCAACTCTAGTTAGCAGACGATCTGTTTTAACTAGCAATGCGTTTTTACTATGAACATACTAAATAGATTTTAATGCTGGCGTATTCCTGATCAAAGCAAGAATAGTCCAATATCTATTCCACCTTTTTTGTTTTACGGTCTATGTGTCCCCATGTTAAGATCCGATTTGGAAACAGACATGTTTTTGTTAATTCTATTATCTTAGACTTGATTGAAGTACAATATGATCATATATAATATAAGCTTAACATGCAGACAATTAAAAAAGTAAGGTTAAAAATTGAAAAAGATTCCACATTATAATTAACAAGTTTAAGTACACTAAATATTTTGATAGCACGCAAACTATTTACAGTCTCAACTCCAGTGAAGTGATAGATATAAACTTAAGCTGTTTTCAAGTCTACAAAAACATATCCCGACCAGATAAATGAGTTTGGGGAGACCGACTTGCTGCTCAACTAGAAGGCCAGCAGACTGCGTAGCTCAGTGGTCTTATTGTGAAATGGAGTCGGAGGAACACATCGGCAGGCAGTTCATTTCATATTTTATGGTTGTATTGTGTGTGTGTGTGTGTGTGTGTGTGTGTACTGCAAGATAATTTAACTTTCGCTGCGCTCAAAACTTATTTTTGCTTTTGTGCGCTGCCATATTTATAAGCTGACATTCCCAATTCCGTTTGGGCCCAGAGTACGCCGAAATTAGTCAGCAAAGTGCAATTTTTATAGAATTTGTGACGCCAGTTCAGACAGTTTTATGGATGCAATCCTTATATTTATTTCGTTTTCAACTTTAATGGCTGCTGCTCTAACCCCCGCTCGTTGCGCCTCCCTCACTCACTGAGCTTTGGCGAGAATGGCGAGTGCATTTGACATATCACATTTTAGCCAGCTCGCTCGCTCGCTCGCTCGCTCGCCCGCTCGACTCTTGTCAAATTTTTGTGTGCTTTGGACGCCATTTTGGCTTTGTTATTTATGGCCATGTCAAGCGGTCGCCAGCTGGTCAAGAGCTGCGCGACCAGTGCCCCCCTCGGGCAGCCGCTGCTCCGCACAGGCATGGCCCCGAGCGTGGCCTGCATTTGACATGCGGTTGCGTGCGGGCCAAAAACTTTTTTCTTTTTCTATTTTTGTTCTTTTTTTTTTCTTTTTGCTTTTGCTTTTGCTTTTGGGCTTTAGCAATTGGTAAGCCGGCGAAACGTTTGACCGAAAAATGTCGATTGACGCGCTTAGCATTGCAAAAATCAGTTTGGGTACCAAAAATGAACCATAATGTGGCATCAAGCCTTAGCTGACCCCTAACTGAAACCCAGCGCTGCGCTGACCAACAATTCGGAATTTTCAAATCAACCCAAAATCAAGCTGCAAATTTACGAGTCGCCTACAAAAGTTGCCAGCGAGTAAGGCAACCAGATCAGCAAAATTTATACATGACATATATACATACACACACACACACACACACACACACACACACTGAGATAGAGAGAGAGAGAGGCGCCAAGGAAGAGCAGCAGGGTCCAAATGAGTACGAAAGCCGCTTACAACAAAATCAACGACAACAGCAGGCGGCTAGTCCCTTAACATGTGTGTGTGTGTTTGTGTGTGTGGAAGATAAATGTGCTTGTGTGAGTGTGTGTGTTTGTGTGTGTGTGTGTTTGGGGCCAGCTTAGCAAACGCTAAGCCAGAGAGCGTTGAGCGCAAGCTGTGCCTGTGATTTATTAGCAACAATAATAGAATTAAACAATTTAAATTAAGTTGTAGCCGAAAACCATAAACAGTCTGCCAAAGGAGGCACCACACAGTGCTGCATGGGTGGAGGCGCCACCAACTGCACGCAACGGGGCGTACCACAAAAAACAACAAAGAGACAAACAAACAAAAAACAACAGAAAAATAAAAACACATTTGCTGTGCACTTTTTCGTAGTGTATGCGGAAAAAATAGACCACTTTTTGTTGGCTTTACAACGTTTTGTTCCTTTTTTTTCGGAGTTTTTAAGGGATTTGGCTTTTGTTGACCTCAACGTACTAAGCCTAGAGCTGAGCTATCGCTGTGAAATTCGGTATGGACTAGCAGTGCAAGTGGTTTTAATTAAGAAACGACCAAACAGTTTGTAGACAACTTAAAAAAAAAATAAAGAAAAATACACAGATTTTGATATATGCCCCGTTTCATGGCTTTCTGCAGCCTCGGCTGAGCTATCACTCTGCAGAGTTGGCAGGATCAATGCTGGATACTTATGGGTTGAACACTTTAAATATTTTCTAAGCTTTATGAGTTTTTGATTTGTGAGCCGCAGTTAACTAGGCAGAGTTGTTAGATATCAAACAAAAAATGTAGCGCACTGAAAGATTCCAATTGTTAGAAATGTAAATATTCTTTGGGTACAAAGCTGTAAAGCTGTGAGCTAAGCTTGGAAGCAAACTAACTTGAGGAAATTTGGTATACGCTACGCCAAGGCTAGAGAGCTTAAGAAAATCTCAACAATTTATGGATATTTGCAAGAATTTTCGAGATTTTAATATGCGACTAAGTAAAACTAAGTCTGCAGCCAGGCTAACGCAATGAAGTGGGGCACGAGCTACTCCTTTGGTCAAGTTGCCTTAAATTAACTACACATTTTCAGTTACTTTTATTAGCTAATAAATCTTTGGGATTGTCAGTGTGACCAGCCTTGAGATTAGAGCAACTGAAGTAAGGGCAATGCGCATTCGGCGCAGCTCGGCTGCCTTTGCCCAAAGCTTGACCAGCTGCGGGCGACGATGGATCCACACCAAATGTTTGTTGCCAGAGGTAGTTAATGGCGGGGGCGTCAAGTGGTGCTGTGGGGTGCAGTGAAGGGCTACATGTGTACTCTTGCGTCGCCAGGAGGGCATTACAAATGCTTCCTGCGCATAAATGTGGCAGCAGTGGTGAGTCCAGCGTGTGTGTGTGTGTGTGTGCGTGTGCGTGTGTGTATATATTGCTGCCATTATTACTTGCTTTTGTTGTTGCTGACAAGCCCCCCACACAGTTTGACCCCAAATGAGGCGCCCTCGTCCCCGCTTGACAGCCATCAGGTCGCAGTCCACTCGACGGGGCAGCAGCAACAAAAAGCAACAAAAAAAATGTTGCATACTTTTGAGTGCAGCGCAACGCATTTTGCAACTTCAAATGGCATTTGTAGTTGTCGTTGCGCGTTGTTGTTGTTGCCATGGCAAATTGTTGTTTCAGTTGTTGTTTTAAGTGTGCATTTAATTTAATTTTTATTTAAATGCAACGCATAAAAAATTAAAGCCCTTTGCAACGGAATTGTAATTGTTGCTGTTGTTGTTGTAACTACTAAAAAACAAAAATTATTTCTGAAAAAGTCAGCCAGAAAATCATTCGAAACGCAACATTTTCCGTAATTGCCTATTCCGAGCTGTTGAGGCTTAGATTTAATATAGTTGTAGATAACATCTGGCTTGAAGGTATCTTGTATCTGGTATCCTGTATCTATATGATGTATATATATTAATCTTGAGCATGCTCTGGCTTAAATATCATCAAATGCTTCATTTCCTCAGTCTAGATGTATCACATATAGATCTCGTATTTTTTAGTTTTCATCTGGTAAATTGTATCTTTAGTATTTTTCGGACATTTCTTATCTTTCATCTTGTAGCTTATGCTCTATATATCTCTTATTTTTATCAGTTATGGACATTTCTGGCTTAGTCTTTGACTGAACTCTTTCTGGTTCCATTTCTGCCACTTCAAAGCCTCGTCCGCTTTTCCCACACAAACACACTCTGCCTGTATGAGTGTGCGTTTGTCTTTTAATTCTGTCGTTAAATCCAATTGCTGTATTCAGTTTATGGGACTCGGTTTCATTTGCAATTGACAGTTGGCAGGTTTCTATGCAGGTTCATAGGACTCTAAGTCCAATCAATTAGTTGCGCTGATTTGTTTGACAAACTGCAGCAATTGTTGTTATTGTCT